AAATAAAATTTAGTAAGGCGTATTGTCCCTTGGTCAAAGGGTAAACATTGCAAAAAGTAAACAATCGAATGCTCACGAGTTCTGCCCAATCTGAATGTATTATTTTACTACAATCAAGCGGAACTACTTTGCCGGTGGGTTTAGTGTTGTTACACTTTTTATGTTATAGATATGAACAATTTCATCGACTTTGGACAATAGTTAGTTCCCTTTTAACATAATTTAGGATTTATGTTATACCTATTTAGCTTTAATTTACCCAAAAATGTTTAGGGCCACTAGTTAAACACTAGGATCACTAGTTTGGGATAGTTAATTTCCCACAAATTATTAGTAAAGGAACCTGCGAAAGACACCTTAATTGCTTACATTTTCCAATTTTCCAGGCTATTGGAAAACAACGATGTGGAATATCAAACTAAACCACAATTGTGACGGTATAACTATTGAGAGAAGTACGGAATCGTATTAATTCTCAGAAAATAAATATGATTCAAATCTTTAAAACCCTAAAACCCTGTCAAAACTGGGAACAAATACACAAAGAAAAATACTAGGCTGCTTTAACAATTGATTACTATAGAATGTTGAATAAAGAATAAAAGAATCGATACCTGAAATTTATCGAATAACCGTTACATCACTAACACCTTACAAGGAATCCCACTACACATGTCCCCAAGGGCTGTAAGGGCCAGGTGACCCTCAGCCACCGGCGTCAGCATAATGCCCTCGGCTCTACGCGAACCAATAATACCTATCTGCAGCAGGTGCGGATCTTCTGTAGAAAATTGATACACACTGATCAAAAATGTTTGACTCAGTGATCTATGAAAGAGACTAACGCCCGTATTCACAAGCGTTACTATGAACGCACAGGATGACGTGACACACGAACCAATCACAGTGCTCTATTCAACGCTGTGTTCTATTTGCTGCTTCACTTATGCAAGCATCGTTTGTAAATACATAGCCACGATAGCCGAACGCGAACGGTGAAGGGGTCGAAGTGGCCACTCCGACACCTTCACCGACTCGAGATACGAGGAACGCGGGTTCGAACTATTGTGGTGAGCCCACTCGTAACACAAGCTTATTTAGCTTAACACGAGGGGCTAATGGGACTATTAGTAATTTGGGCAATACAAATTGCTTATAATCTTTTAAAAAAAAAAATACGGGCGCAACAATTTAGTAAATCTACACCAATATTATAAAGTGGAAATATTTGATTCTTTGTTTGTTTGTATTGACTAAGCCCCGATTAAGTCCGAGCTACTGGAACGATTTCAAATTCTTCCACCATAAGAATCCTACGTTATAAGGGACAGCTAGTGCTAGATAATAAAATCGACTCAAATTGTTTTTCTAGAATGCGAGATCTAGACTTATCTCAGTCGTTATAACATTATAGGAAAGAAACACAGGAATTTTTTGCTCAATACAAATTTGACAAAAGAAAATTGAATTGAAAATCCACTCGCTAACATGAGTTGTATACCTAAACCTGGAGATTACTCATATTTACTATTTGTTTATTTTGCATGATTGTTTATACAAAACGGCAATTTCATTATGCACAAAACAGCTACACAGCGCGGCCATTTGTTAATGCCAAGGATTGAACCGAGATACGCGCATTAGTTAAATAATTCCTAATGGCGTGGAAACTCGGAGGGGCCCGTCTTCAGCCCTTGCTCTATGGTGTTACAGGGCTGGCAATAAGTCTGACAAAAATGTTCACCAAGTATCAGTTGTCACAAGGATCAAATAGCAGAAGGAACACAAATGTGTAAAGTGGTCTGAAAGGGCCTTTGAAACCTCATGTTTATGGATCCTTACTGCTTTATATTGATAGGGACCCGCCCTTGCTTCGCATGGGTATTTAACAAAAATGTTATGTTAAAAATTATAAATTAAAAAATTTGCCCAAATTTATTGGAAAAAAATAGGATTCTAATGGTAAAAGAATTTAAAAAAGAAACGCAAATCTTTTCTCTTTATAATATTACATGTAAACTTTTGAAACAAATAAAAATTTTATTATTTTTTTTTATTATTATTATTGTAATATAGATAGATCTAGATATATATTAACGCGATTAAGTACGTAAAATATTATGCGCAAACAAAGAATATTATATCTTGCGAAATTCGATCTATGAAAAGGCCTTCGATGATCACGTATGTTTGCCAACCCTACGCTACCTACTTATCCCTTATGAAGGGATCAAGTGCCCGCGGTCGGTCATGCCCTATGATATTAATTACTCAGTAAATACTTACAACTGCTAGCTAATCCAATGTACGAGAAATATCAAGATTACGATGAATTTCTTCCCAGTAATGTTTACGGGAAAATACCGTATTCTATGAATCAAGACTATATTAGACAAAAATTTATCTGAAAATGATATATTGTGGAAACTCAGAGGTACGAAGCTATACACAAACATTACTATGAGGTCTCACGCGCATGGACGCCCAGAGTGACAACGAACCAATCATAGAGCTGTATTTACCGCTGTGCGTCGATTTTCTGCTTTACATAAACAAGCATCGTTTGTGAATAGGGGCGTTAGGAGTCCTCCTAAGTAAGACTTTACTGCCTACCTCGAAATGAAATTCACGCCAGCCTCTGAACGAGTGACCTGCATTTTATTACTCATAAGACATCAAACTCCTGCTACCGGCTACTTTTTTGCATGGGGGACAGCACGAATGTTTGGAATGGTTGACCCAAGCCAAATAAACCATAAATCTTTATCTTTGTGTAAAATGTGGTTACAAAGTGGGTGCAAGATGTTGGTAGAAAACTATACAGAATGTTTAAAGAGAGCCCAAAATATGAATAAAAGAATAATATTAACACGGAAGATTATAAGGGCTGGCATATAATCATACGAAACTTTTGATCGATACATGGTTGCTGTCTAAACTTTTTAAATAGAACTCTTCATCTTCTACAGTAGAGCCAATAATAACTCTATTTTAAAAATATCGATAAATTACCATTCGTAAACAATTCGAAAATTAACTACAATGAAAGAATGTCATGTTGACCCTTTCCAAGACGTTCTCTTAACTCACTGGCAATTTATATTAAAATATACCAGCCATCTCGGAACAGCGCGATTGGCGCCGCCTGGTGGGAGCAGGGAAATTGAGAGAGGATCAAATTTCAATAAGAATTTACTCAAAAGATTACGCAAGGAACCCCTTCAGCGCCCGCCCGCACTTGCTGTTTGACTTGGGTCAGTGATTGTCAAACATACGAAAAGGGGCATTCGAAAAAGTACGACCGAATTGAAAATATACTCCTTTTTAGGGTTCCGTAGTTTGATGTCGGTAAATAATAATGGAGAGCCAAAATGTGTTCAGTTTTGCTAAAGTCAAATTACCTAAAAAACCTTCAAAAATTGCGGATACGCTATGAAGGAGGAACAACATGAAAAAGTTTTCAGAATCAGGTACATAGCAATCCCGTAGATATCTATTGTGATTTCAGAATCACGTTTCTGATTAATTTCGTTGCGGGTCCAATGACAGTTTAACTTTCCCCCGGGACAAACTTGACCTTCATTGGTTGGGTTTTTGTGGCGGTCAAGCTGTAGATCCTGGCTACACAAGAGTTGCAGTGGTGGGAACTAGAGGTGGGAATAGTCCCGTAATCACGTTTCAGAATATCTTAGCCAATGTATATTAATTTTAAATAGTTGGCATTGCTACTTAATTCAACTATTTCATAAATAATGGCTATGTCCCGGCTACAAGTAAAACAAGCTAGCTTTTCTTTGGCTATTAAAACCTAAAAATTGACCAGGCGCGACAGTGATGAGGGGCAAATGTTATATTTGGGAACCAGCAGGAGTTAGTGAAGGCAAACAAAGGTACATAGGTATCGAGATGAATCGGGAATTGATCTCCAGCGACAAATACAGACCTATCGTCAATCACTCTGATACACTTCGCCCGAGGACAGTTTCAATTATGTCTTTTAGATCTCTATTGAACTTACGAATCCTCGTGATGAAGAGTAAATGGGCGGTCTCCTAAGTTATATTAGTCCCAGTGGAAGGAATACTGTCAAAAATTCTTAGTATTAAATGCAAATCAGTCCTGTAAAATGTGTAGGTTATTAAATACTTTACTTGACTTTGTAGGGTAGGGCCAAGATAAGGAAGCAAATGAAGAAGAGTCCCTTTTAAGGCCTTTTATTTTCTTATAGACCTAGAACTTATTTTTTGATCAAAATTAGAATGAATAGTTTTCAAATTCAAAGCCAACAATTTTCTTTAAACGATAAACACTTTTCAGGGGTACATACACGTATACCGCGTTGCGCGTTGTGATAAACTATAATAAATAAGAATAAAAGCTACGAGAACCTAGCAAAGTAAGTATAAAAAACAACACTAATGAAGCAAAGCCTGCCGTAATCCTGCTAATTGACAGGGCCATTGAGATGGCTAGCAGCCTCCAACTTACTTCTTATAACGACTGGATCCTTGCTCACGAGCCAAAGAAAACAGCCAACCCTTTCCTTTTAATACGCATGTTATGAGCCCCTATGTATTTTTTTAAGACTCCCAGTTATCTACACACTTTTAGTGGGCCGATAGTTCGGCCCGATTCTAATTTGGATGAAGAATCGGCCGATACCAATGTACGCACTTTCGTACTACATGCCCATCCCAACTATCGGTCAACAAAGTCGGTGGTATGCGCCTAAACTAAATGTTTTGTAGCAAAATAACACTTTTATAAGAACCACATAAGCTGCATTTATCAATCGTATTTATGATCTAATCAAGAAAATATAAGCTTATAATATAACTAAATAGCTTAGTACTTATTAGGCTCAGTTTCACCATCTTACTTTAACTTTAACAAACATAAAAAATCTGTCAAACTGCATACAAAAAGCACCTGTTATTGTTATGGTTAAAACAAGGTGGTGCAACTCAGCCTTAATGTGACAAATAAATAAAAACACTTACCAAGATAGAAGCAGCAGCAGCAGCAGCCGCAGCAGCAACAGCCAATGGAAAACTGGATGTGGATAAAGATGCCGGGGAAATTTTGCGCCGAGGTTACCTGAAAAGAAGGTAAGAGACGAGCACATTAACAAATAAATGAATAATGTTGCAGATAAACCTCGTATGATTGGTGTAGTATGGTGTGTCTGCTTTAGCTTAGCTATAGATCTGTGATCTACAAACAAAAAAGAAGAGTGTATCACTACAACTATGTATATTTAGTATGGTCGACAAAATGCTTTAGTCTGTCTACTAAATGTTAACTCTCATTTATCTCTTTCATAAATATCCAGTTCATAATGTCATTGAAATTGTTAGATATTTTAATTACTTATGAATAAGTAATCTACTGTGATATTCAAAGTAGCTTTTTGGTATGACATGTACTTTAGAATATTTAACTATTTGATAGCTTCAATTTTACTTAATTGCAGTAGCGTACATCAAAGAGCAGCGATTTAGTTTAATTTCTAAATTATAACTAAAACATAGAAAGCTGGGGTTTGACAGAAAGCGAGTATATTGAAGAAAATCTTATTTAACTTTGAAATAAAAGAATCATACATACCTTTCAGTAAAAGATTTTCCAGGTAATCCACCACGAACGTATTTATTTTCAGTCGTTGAAACAGTAGGTTGGGCGTTGCGCATTGTAAATCTTAATTTCCTAGAAAAAAAAACATGAATATGTTATCAATTCAATCCAAAATATACTTAGACAGACTGCAATTCTTCAATTACAGCTGCACACCGATTTACAATGTGATTGGCAGTTTTCTTGCAGGTGACAAAAATGCAGTTTAAAAAGCACTTTTTACACGTCGTTACTTCGAATATCGAGTAATAATTTGTTAGTAAGTAGTTATTGGATGTCTTAGATAAATGACTTTCCTACATGATTCCAAAAGTCGAATGCGGTTTCGAGTCCAAAGTTGATACAGCAAGACGAATGAAAATTTATTAAAGCTGCATGTTATATTTCATTGTTTCGTTATTTCAACACAAATATCGCTACACTACACATCACAAAACTAAAAAAAACCTCCAAAATGTAAATCCATTAACTTTAAAACTAAAAAATTATTACAGATCGTCATAAAACTCACCATGTTTTCCGTTCTCCTACCCTCCACAAAATGAATACTTATTTCCTGTGCATAATTCACTTGCTTGATTTTTTTTCTAAGAGATTAACGGCTTGGACCGAGTCCATTCGGCCAAAAAAAAGAACAAACTAAAACGTTTCATTTTTTCTGCATTATTCCGATTTTGTAAAATAAACCAAATTAAACGCATTATTTTATAAAATTTTCTGGACTCTAAAATATGTTTCTTATCGTCACGATATGAGTTTTCTATTTACATAATTTTAACGACTTTGTGGTATTTATGAAATGTTAGTTCAATAAATACCGACTCACTTATAAACAAACCACGGCTTCAGTTAGCTTTTGACAACACAAATCTCACAAATTCATAACTAATTCGACTCACAAAGTTCAACAACGCACGGCAGTCGCGGAGGTAAATATTTTTTCGAAAGAGCAATAAAAGTCAACTTTTTTTTATTATCACTAAAAATATTACATATTAATTTAAGTAAAAATAATTTAACTCACTTTTTATTTGAAATAGGAACTGTCAACTGTCATTATTGGCTAAAATTAAATTCAAGCGATTGTCAGTTGTTTCAAGATTCAACGCTCAAGAAAAAATCATTTGGTCAACACATTTTCCTTTGACCCCAAACCTTCATTATCATCATGCTCTGTTGTAAATATTACAATGTGTGGAACTATTTTTTTTTTGCAAGAAGGCTGATGATCATACATGTCGAGGAGCTAACTAATATCTTGAGTCAGAGTAAATACACATTAGTAGGTTATCTTCATAGAAACGCACTAAGCGCGGTTTGTATGTGAGCGCGCCAATACCACCAATACGTATGCGGCGCGCACGCACACACTGACAAAATTCGGCGCAACTCCCAGCTAATCCACGCTAAATTTTCTATGAAGATAACCTACTCATTTGTATTTACTCTGCTTGAGTGGAGCAACCCTTGGTACCTACTGCAATTCCATCTTGGAACTATGTTCTAAAAATGTAATCCTTAAGGTTATTGATTTTAGGTGCCTATTTCATTACTTCAAATGTCGTTATGGAGCACCATCCGCAAGTTCGGGCTGGGCTACTGCGACCTGCCCACCATGCTGTGGAACGTGAGTTTCATGCTGCGAGCTCTCACTCTCAACATCGACAGCAGATATAAGAAGCGTGAGTTGCTGTTGGTTGATATTGGCAAAGTGATAATGTGAAATCTTCTGGAAGTTAAGATAAATATTGGTGCTGATGATTGTCATTTTATTAGTAATATACTTAACAAATTTTGATTTGATCAGGAAACTTATAAGGCCTGAGATGTAGGTATACGAATATCATTAGCAATAAACTGAAAAGTCGTGAAAGATTTTGTCCATATCTTTTTGAGCACCAAATCAATAAATCACCCTCTTTTATAATGCGAACAGCTAGAGATTCGAATTCATTGCCTGTAGGTACACATTAATCACAGTAATAATTTAACTCTATGAATGAACAGAGCGTATTGAGTAGCGTCCTGCGTTCCCACATCATTGCCCAATACAATCAACAACAGAAAACAATAGTTATACTGTTCCTTGTATGTGTCGGCGGCTGAGCCCGCCAGTTTTATTTAATGCGCAAATCTCTTCAACCCCCATATGATGGCCCCTATGGCACAAATGGAGTCTTAAGTAGGAGAGGCAAAACATTCGTCATTAAAATAGGAGAAAAAGAAAATACTATTTCAATGGAACATTGCCTACTGATGTCTTCTCCGAACACTACGATCTGAGCCTCTTCAAGGCGAGATTGATTAGGCATTTACTGAGCAACCACCCTAGATAGACTGCATCCACACAAAGCCAGCATTACCTACATATTACGAAATTAGTGGCTAAATACACATTAAAACTCCTCAGCCATCCCATTAATCTTCTACATCATCTTCGCGCTGGTGGCGGCGAGCTACTTCTACATCTACCTGATCTCGATGGCCTGGTTCGTGTTCTGGCACTCCCGGGAGACGGGCGACCTCGTGGCCGCCATGGTGGTAGCCTCGCTGGGGATCTCCAGCGAGATTGGAACTGCTAAGCTGATCTATATGTTTCTTTACAGGTATTCTCACTTACTTTTTTCTATGTTCCGTTGGTCTTGCTCTTTTTTTTTGATGCTCTTGCTTGCAGTCTTGTCTTAATTCTGAAGCTGAAAGTAAGAATTATTTATTAAGGACTTTATTTCAATTCTAAACCGAATGTTGCCTACTCATTGCTTTTATTTTCTTTAATGACTGATTCAATTCCAAATCAAGAGCGTTTTCTAACATTACATACTTCCTTCCAGAAATAAAGTCAGGGAGCTGGTAGACATGTACCTAGACTGCGATGCTCTGGTGAAGCCTGGTAGCCGGTTCTCCAACAACCTGACGAAGACCCTGAGGAACGTGAAGAAGCGAGCCATGATCTTCTGGATCGTGATCATGGGGAACGGCGTGGTCTACGTTTTGAAGCCTCTGCTGACGCCTGGAAGACACTTTATGGAAGATCTGTTTACTCCTTATGGTTATTATCATGCTTCAATGTTCCTACAGTTTGTAGCCAAAGTACGTTGAATGAAACAATGATAATATTTTTCCTTTAACAGGATTTGATCCAGTCTACGAGTCACCAAACTACGAGATTGTGTTCCTCCTGATGACTGGAGGAGTGATCTTCACCTGCTACCTCCCGGCCAACATCACCGCCTTCCTCATCATCATCACCGGCTACACGGAGGGCCAGATGCTGGCTCTGAGCAAGGAGATGCTCAACCTTTGGAGCGACGCCCAGCAGTTTTACCTGGACCATCGCACATTTGATGTGGGCACCACCAGGCCTGTGGTAACCCTCGACAGCGAACAAAAAACAAAGAAAAAGATCGTCAATGAATATGTGAAGAAGCGGTTGCACGAAATGATAAAAATCCATACGACTAATATAAACTTATTGCACCATGTAGAAAGAGTATACCGAGGGGCAATTGCCATTGAATTTGGGATACTAATAATTGGTTTGATCTTCGAACTCCTTGGTGGTCTTGAAAATACGTACCTGGAGGTTCCTTATGCATTGATGCAAGTTGCTATGGACTGCTTGACTGGTCAGAGAGTGATGGATGCAAGCAAGGCGTTCGAGGATGCCGTTTACGACTGCAAATGGGAGAACTTCGATGTAGCCAACATGAAGACGATCCTGCTGATGCTGCAAAACTCGCAGAAGACCATGAGGCTGTCTGCTGGGGGGGTCACCACGTTGAGCTTCAGCTCCCTGATGATGGTTTTTAGATCCATTTATTCAGCCTATACTACTTTGAGGACCACTATGAACAAATAAATGTAGTAAATCAATATGTAGATAATGTATGTGTTTTAATGTGTTTACGGTTCCCTAAAATCTTTAAAAATATCACTAGTGATCAATCACTCACGATACCAAATAGGTCATTGAAAAAATAAAATGTTCCGTTGCAAAAATTCTATACAATATTTTTCTGTCTAAACTAACCTGTCGGTTGAAATAGCGTAACATTTTCTATTAAAGCCGACTTACCTAACTACATTTTCAGTCCTGAAAATTAGCCTTATATTCTAGACTGAAAATGTAAAAAAATGTGCTTGGATTTATGATTAAGAAACTAATACTTTATCTGCTAAGCTCGGCTTCAGGAACAATAGCCAAGTAAAAAGCTTTCCTTATTGTCTAGGCATCCTTTTGTTAGGTACACGACGCTAACTAATAATAACCAAGTAATAAAACATTTTCTTCTTGTTTCGCGACTTCCGGAGTAAATAAATATGATATTAAATAAAAGATCCAGACGCAATAAATATTGGTACTCGCTAGTAGCCCGATACACAATATACAGGATGCAATCGTTTATATCAATCAAAAAAATCAAAATCAAAAAATATTTATTCAGTTTAGACCACAAGTGGCACTTATGAACGTCAATAGAAAATAATAAAAAAAGAAAAAGGTAGCCCTTATGGGGCACTTTACATGTCTCCTTATCTTTTGGGCCCTACCAGCGCTTCGAGACAAACATATGGCAAGTGCTGAGAAGAAACGCCGGAACAAACTCAGTAATAAGTTGGCAGTTTCAATACGTTATAAAAGCTCTCTATCAGTTAATTTATCATTAGTGTAATTTAAGTAATTAGTAATACTATACCTCGATTAAAAGTTTGTAAAATAGTATTAGAGAAAGTTCACTCACAATTCAAAAATCCCCCATTTCACTTATATGAATTTTCACTTACCTCTGTTAAAATATTTTTGATGTTAAATCTGAAAGAGGCGGTCAACAACAATAAGTGTTACAAATTCAAAATTCGTCAACTATCAGAATGCATACCTGAACCAAATAAATTAATTCTCTCACTCCTATTAATTTAGACATTAATTATGTATTGAACAATTTTGCGCGGACACCAATTAAGAGACATCGTTAGTACCTATCTGCTTATTATATACCAATTAGCACATAACTAAACACCATTCACACTTCACTTCAGTAATGTAATGTGCAATTATTATAATATTATACATAATTGGATTCAAGTAGATTGTCATTGTATTCGTGCACTTGTCCGATCGTTGACGACATACGTCCATGCATTGAACTGTTTCATTGTTATTAAATAGTAAGTATAAAACAATACTAAGTTTGAATAACGTAAATCATTTATAGAACCAGTTAAACTAATTTAAGTTAGACACAGAACTAAAATACCAACCAAGACTTGTTCAAGTTAGGTACCTACCGTGACAAAATTTGATTTTGGTGTCACTTATAACAGTTCTACTAAAATCAATCATATTATTTAATTAATATACAAGTACATGAACTTTTATAAAGCAAATGTTTTATTTTGCCAAATATTATATCCCAAATAATTTATTTGGTCAAATTGACACTTCACATACTTACCCACCGTTACCCACAAATCAAAGCATAAGGCACATGATCGTGGTTTTCACAAGAATTTTAGGTAAAACAAAGAGATAGCAGAAAATAGTATGGTTGCAAAAAGTAGGTATTGCAGAAAATTGTAGGTTAGGTTAGGTTAGAACAGTGACCCTTTACGGCAACGGCCGCCGAGCGCTAGAATAACCTCTATTGTTAATTAATGATTTGGAAATTTCCATAAAAAGAATAAAAATATGAATACAAATATTAACTACCCACTAAACAAAATAATAACCACAAGCTAATTTGTATTTCATTTTATGCACCAATCAAATTGTTATGTAAATAGTTTATCGTGAAATATTTTTGCCAAATGAAACATTTTTGGCAAAACATACTTTGCTAAACAAAATTATGCCAAAAACGACATTTGCGAATTAAATATTTGCAATAAGTTGTTTTTGAAATCAGTTGTTCATGTAAATTTAGGAAACGTTTGCGATGTGATAATTTGGGAAACGTTTTTTGGCCAAGCATTAGTAATCCTGAAATATTACCTGTATTTGCCTGACGTTTCGACCGAGTTGCACCAACCGTGGTCACAGGCTGACTAGAGTGCTAGAGCGTCGAGTGCGCGATCGGTATAGTGGGTAGAATCATCTAATTCTACCCCAATGTCATTATTTCTTCTCCAAGTACCGTCACACATTAC